TTACACAAGTTTGTTATTATTATTATTCTAATCATCCTTATTTTATTATCACTCTATTACTATCTATTAATAAGGTTGCGTTTTCATACAGATTTTATAAAAGCACTTTTGATTGAACACTAGTAACTTGTCTGACGTATCTAGTCCTTTCTTTGGTGCAGACTGAATTCTATCAGTCAGCTTTTGCAATGTGGCCACCATTCTAGGTAGCTCGCCATCACAGTGCACATTGATCTGATGATATATTAAATAGTTGGAGGCCATTGGCATGAAGACTTGGACCTTGGTTTCGTGCTAGTTGGTACTGACCAGTCAGCAAGGCGTATCTGCAACCTTCGAATCTCAGAAGGGACATGAGTTCCTAAAAGGTTGCAGATACGCCTTGCTGATGAGTGCCTACTAGCACGAAACCTATTGCCTCTAACTACCTAATATATCATAAAAGCACTTTATCGTCTTTCCACTAGTTTTTGTCCAGTCTACACAACCATACTGATGAATTATTTTCCTACACTTATTACATCATGCCAACTTCTGCTCCCTTTTCTAATTTCCAACTATTCATTCCTTCTAGAGCACATCTTACATCACGTAACATATTTTCAAGGACAAATTTTACCAGAATCTGACTGGTCTTATGAATTCTTTATTAAATGTAATTACGACTGTATAGCGGCTTATGAAAATGAATTGTCGAAAAGAAAATTCTCTTCGCTGTTTACGTCTTTTTCTTATGACTTAATTTGGGAATATTTTGTTCGAAGACATAATATTTGTCCCACAATGTTTAAATTTCTGGGGATATTTGTGTATGTGTGTGAATGACTATTTGAATGACTCCATCTCTAGTCAGCTGCACTTCTCACTTCTCACTTGGCAAGTAAACAGTTGGAGGTTTCTCTTCTCTCATCATTGCAAAACACTTCCGGGTGAGCCAGTTCAAGGCGACAGCATGAATGTTATAGCAATGCGTGTGCTTTCTACTTTACTGGTATCTTATATATTTTTTAAAATTTCATTTTATTCACTTGCATTCTGAGTGAAGCATCCGGCTTCAAGTTTGAGATTCACAATTTCAGTAGAGCAGTGGGTTTTCTAACGGAAAGGGGTTTTTAATCTCGCGCTTAACCTTTCCTTTTTTCTGGGCTTACCACCATCTAAGCGAGGTTTAAGACTCCTTTCTCCACAGACTGAACCTCAAATCACACCACATGCGTGGTTGACAAGCATTCTAAGTATGCACTACGTATGCTTTAAATTATGGAAATACTGGACAGCTGTTGTTTGGGACTCGTCATCAGTGCGCACTCACTTCCAGTGTTCGAACCCAAAAGCTTCTGGTTACGAGGCGAGTTCGTAGACTACTCAGCCACTGGAGAGCTATTTTCTTTACATTTTGATATCTCCAGATATTTTTTTATCTTTGTATGTTAAATTCGAGTCTGTAAGTAAACTGTATGTTTACTATGGAGATGGGAATCTACTGAAATAGTGGAGTCAATCACGAAAAATATTTGCTTCCTAAATGACATGCACTTTATTGATTTAAAAGGGTAGGGAAGTAAAACGTCATTCGTTAATAACTGAATGGAAACGTTATTAGAGGCAAATTTACTGCCAAATATTAACTTCTAGTTCATATGAGACAAAAGGCGGCATTAAATTTGGCCTAAAGCATATTGATACAGCCCTAGTGTAGGAAAGCAAAGTGATACTAGCAACTGTTGACCTATTTTTGGTTATCCTTATCTGATAATAGTGTTGACTGACCAGCTTTAAAATTAATGACATCGTTAGAGTTTGTATGAAAAAATATATGAAGTTTTCACTTCAACATTTTAGGTCAATCTTCCTATGTAATACTTAAAGTATACTGGTGCGTATAAGTTGTTATTTCCTTCAGTTTAACTGAGTGAGCATGCCTCAGACCTTCAGAAGATTCAAAATGAATTACTTTAATAAATAAAAGACATCAGTGGTTTGACAACACTAAAATACAGGCAATATAAGTCGTTTTATATATTTCTAAGAACAGCAAACTTTGCGACACTTTTAAACCCTGAGGGAATCCGATGAGTTTACTGCCAAATATTATAAAACGTAAGATGTTTTTCGATTACAGGATTAAAATTATTTGCAAAGAAAGAGTATCAACACTGAGGGCGCATTCAGGTGGCATTTAAAATGAGAAGGCAAAATTGCATTATACTGTATTATTACTCCCTTGAGTTCTAAGTGGAATGTAGGGGTTCAGTAGCACATATCCACTTCATCTTGTTCTCTTCAGCCCCTATGGCTGGCTCCGCGATTGTCCATAAGCTCTCATCTCATCCGTGTCATCCAAAGAACTACATCTAACTCTTCATTCCCTATTCGGATTGCACTGTAGGCTGTGCCTGGAGCTCTTTGTCAATTAACAATTTCCTTGACGTGTATCCGATCCACCCCCACTTCTTTCATCATATATTTGTTGGGCAATAGATTCTTGGTTAGTTCATTCTCAAAGTTGTCAGTTATTTATCCTTTCTAACTATCTGACCTTCAGCAATAAGCCAGCGAATGCAGACTTTGGAATTTGCTTTCCGTGAGGAAAAAACTCTCTGAACCAATATAGAAGGACTGATTTGAAATTAGTTTTGAAAATCCGAAAACAAAGTTACATGAAACCATTTAATTCACATACGTAACCTATCAGACATTTCTTATGTTTTGTTGTGCTTTTAAATATGATATATGGTGTGCGATAAGTGTTAGAAATGCTTCATTTGAGAATAACAATGACAGTCAACGGATGCTTCTGGATATGTCCTTGAGATGAAGAGAAGATAATTCAAATGGATGGTAGGTTTACATAATGCTAATTTAAAAGCGAGGCATTTGAAGTGAGTACAGAAGAAAGATAAAACAGGTTGCATATTACCACCGATGATTTCCTCAATTGTGTTGAACTGGATTATTCATCAGACTGTGAACAGGGAGTTAGAAGACTGAAATACGTTGGACCGACCAATGAGAAGACTCTAGAAGATCTGGATTTCGCATGTGAATGGTTTTTTTTTTTTTGATGTCACACAAACTCGAAGATTTACAGGTGAAAACCAACAAACTGACATAAGCGACAGGCAGTGAAGACATAGAGAAGATGGAGGTGATGGAGATAACCAACCAACAACAACAACAACCAGCACCAATAAATATCAACGAGAGAAATTTGAAAGAGGTTACCTCCTTCACTTATTTAGGAGGCATTTTTTCACCCACAGGCACTCGGAACAGATGAAGATGTGAAAGGCAGACATAAATGGGAAGGCTAGATACACTTTCATCAATCTGGAATCTGTTTGGAAATATCTTCTGCACCCAGCCAGCATAAACAACGAGATTCAGATTTTCGACACAAATGTCAAGTTAGTCAGTCATTTCTTCTATACATTTTATAAAAATTTTTATTATTATAGCTTGATTCCATACAGTATTTTGGTACAAGTATAGAACTTTCAGCATGTGATATCGGTAGTCTCAATTTAGCAGGCAAACCATTGATATCGGATGTGCGTCGGTAGGGTATAGAACCCTGGACTATGTGCATGGTCAGAGAACGTCCTAACCACAATGCCATCAAAGCACAGAAACTTGCACTGCGCATCACCAAAAGCACTTCCAACAGGCCAGTGAAGAACTTTATCAACAGCTGCATTCGCTGACTCCATACTGAAAGTCGAATAGACGGCTGGGCGGAGAGAATTAGCAACAAGAAACCCTGGTTGGCAACAAACCAAGGCAGGACTTCTGGTTCAACAAATATTTAGGAGAATATAGAGGTGGATCTGTACACACTGAAAAGACTATCAATGCAGCCCATCGCTCGAGTGGAATTCGAATGGGAAGTGCCGAATATGTCTTCGGTGCGAGTATGACATGGAGATCATGTGGTGAAGAGGAGATGAGAGATTATGAGCAGTTTTATGTCAAGCTGAATGGGACAGCAGAAAGTAGGAGAAAGTGGATGTGTGTTGTTGAAGACCCATGTTGCACATGGAACCCAAGGGAATAATAATAAGTTAGATCGATAAATAACTACGCTTCCGCAGATTTTAATCACTGTATAAGTGACTTAATCAAATAGTTATTTAAGAGCATTCAGTAGATTTGTATTTTTTATTTTTGATTACAGCTTGATTCCACTCAGTATTTTTCGGTACATGTATGGAATTTTCAGCATGTGATATCGGTAGCCCAAATTTTGTAAGGCCGACCATAGATATCAGGTGTGCGTCGGCAGGGGATCGAACTCCGGACCATGTGAATTGTCAGCGAACATCCTAACCACTGTGCCACCGACGCACAAAGGGATGTCTGGAGTGGGTTGATGGTAGCAGCAAAATACTGCATGATGCTTTGTAAAACTCTCAGTGTTGTAGAAAATAACCGACTTTGATGACTATAGTTTCCCCTGCTTCCTATAAAGGTTTATAATGCAAGGGGAGTGTGACTTACTCGAAGATTAAATTATAATCTGCTATTGCGTAAGCATATTATTCATCCAAGCATATCGATTTTAGGAAGATAAAACAAGTACTTCTCCAAAAACAATTAGCGCTGTTTGGACAGTTCTTTCAGACAATACACTTAATATAAGTATACAATATGTAGACACGTACATAAGTGGGATAGAATAGGTAATCTTCCTATTGCAACTACAATTTCACCTTTATGCAAGTTATCAAAAATATTTAAGAATCTTCTACTAAAACTGTGTACTGCATAATGTATTAATTTATGCCAAAGTAATTTTAAACCTTCAAAACAAGTAGAAAAAAGCATGTGTAAACGTATTAGCTATCCTCGTAAACATCTGTGTTTTCAATTTATTAAAAATGCTAAATATATGACTGCTTTTTTTCAAATTTAAAACATCATGTTAAAATGTATTCAAGAAGGAAAGCACGTAACATGGCGTATATTTATTTTTTTTTCATTTAGAAAAAAGGAGAACTTACCCAAGTGTAGTCATGGTGACAATAGTGTACCAAAATGATGATGGGATACTAGAAAAAGTAGTGCCTTCAACAGATTTCTCAGCATAATACATAACAGTAGCAAAAATAATTATGACCATAGTTAGACTAAATAGAAGAAAACCCAATTCAGATGCACAAGATTTCAAGGTGTAACCAAGTATGCGTAATCCAACACTATGACGTGAAAATTTGAACACTCTGAATACACGAAATACTCGTAATGTTGTGAATACACCAGAAACACTCTATAAATGAAAAGAGATAAATAAAACAAAAAGAATACATTAATTTCTCCACAATTATGTATACATAGATATTAAATTACCTCAAGTATGATTGATTGTGAACTATGTGCCAGTAAACTACTTTTATTTTTTTATTCCTTCAAGTTCCCAGTGAAATATAGGGGTTCAAGCTAGAGCTTTGAAGTTTTGGTAACAGTGGTATTTATTTTTATGGGATGGGGTTGCTAGCCTCATGTTCAACCTTCCCTGTTTACCAGTCTTATTACTGGCTTAGCGAGGTAGAGGAGTACGTCAGCCGGGGATCGAACCCCTAACCACAAGCGTAGTTGGCGTGCATCCTACCGCTGTGCCATCGATGCACAGTCAGTGAACTATACAAACAGTAAAAATAATACTAACTAGTAGATTATGTTGGCCCCACAAAGCGTACTCTTTCTAAACACATCTCTGAACATTATCCGACATGGTTAGGAAAAGGATAATACAAGGCAGTTACTAGCTCAATCCTCGAGTACTTGGTGAACTCAAGCCATGCAGCTACAGCTGAGTCACCTTTCAAGATTATCTACAAAGTGAGACCAAATGGTACAAACGGCGTCGGGTTTCGGCATTTGTTTATGGCGCAGGCGTTGGTGATTGGTCAATACAATCCCGAAATCTGTTTGCAGAAGAAGTTTGTCCAGTCTAAACCTCCTAATTAGTAGTGCTCTGCAAATTTTTTATTTCTATTTTTAATGATTAGTTTGCTTTTACTTTATTTGATTGATACACTAATATCACTCTCATTTGTTCCTATTGTACATTTTTTCACTCTCTTTGCACTTGTTAAATGGACACTCAACTATCTTCCTTTTCACTCAATAACAGTTTTATCCTTATCATATTTCTAACGCTTTCTTCCTTTGTGTCGTTGATTATGACGTAATTTTCAACTTTTACTAATATTTTTGTAGCCACTTCTGAGTGATTCTGTCAATTATCTCACCCACCTCTCTATTACTCAGTAATGGACTAATATACTGTTTTGCAAATATAATTATGACTGTACAGCCTCTGAAGGTGATTTCATCAATAAAGAAACTTTTCTTCATCGAATTCTGTTTTAATTTCTTCATGACTCAACTAGGTATTTTCTGTGATTTGAGTAAATTATAACTTTGGTAATTCATGAAACTATACACGGGGCAATCAACCACCATAATTATACCACAAAATTGTGAAATATTTTGCAAAAACATTTACTCTGTCAACTTTATCTAAATGCTTCAAATTCCTAATGCTAAAGCCTTCTCTTACAACTTCAATTTAAATTTCAAAATAAATTATATCTTGAATAAAACCACCAAGAATTAGCATTATCGAAATGATCCCTGAAGAAATATGGAAAATACACAAAAACGAGTGTTGTTTCCTCTCATATGGCTATGACTGTTAAATAAAACAGTATTAATCAAATTCTGCAGTAACATAAAGTGTTCAACTGTTCACAGATCTATAGAAGGAAGTCAAAAAGAGCACAAATGCTGTTTAAGACAACACTATCAGTTTCAGAGAAGTCGGCTAATGCTTCCTGATTCGTTTATTTTGTTAAAGAAAGAGATGTTACCATTATATTGAATGGGTGAAACAAATATTTTGGGCAAAACTTCCAGTACTTAATTGGTGAATGGTGACTACCAGTGGAATCTAGGATGCGCATTTCGTCCTATTTGGGACTCGTAAACTGGATGTACACGACCCTCTGCAAAATAGGTGGCTCTCGTGACCAAGTGGTCTACTGGACAACGCTTTGGCGTTAAAAACAACGGGTACTAGTTTCGAGTCTCTTGGGGACATCATCACTCACTGTGGAATGCAGGTACATCCAGCCGACGAATCCCAAATGGGACGTAATGTGGATCCTGGATTCCACTGCTGGTCACAATCCACTAATTAAACTCCGATTACAGGCCCAGATATCGTCGAAGCATCTGCACCAGAAGTCGACATGTCAACCTGAAACCGAGCGCTTCGGTCCAATCAGTCGACGGGAAAATTTAAAATTCAATCAAAACTTCCAGTACTGTTAGGACAAGCTCCAAATAAAACTCTTCAGTCAATCAAAGCTAATGAAGATGCTTAAAATATTAAAAGAGAATCATTGTAACATTGAATATCATTCATATCACCAGATAGGAAAAGTCTTTTAAAGTACTAAATTCAGGCGAGTAATTCCTTTATGGATATAACTTTATTTTGATACGCTGAGTATTATTTACTGATGACTACGCTTCGAGCATAATTTATTGCTCATAAACATATCAAGATACTCACTTACATAACTTTATTGTAAGGTATATATATGAGTAAAAGTTGAATAGATATATGAATCCAATCAGTAAAAGTTCATTAGACATGCGTGAAAGAGAAAGGAAGATAAAGTGCATTGGGAGACAATATTAGTCTTACCAATAAAATACAACAGGATGGGAAAAAAGACGATTGTTGTTAGCTAACGATATGAGAAACAAGATGTTTTTAGTAAAATAAGTAACTTGTCAGCGTGTTATAATGTGAAATGAAATAAATTTCAGCATTATTTGTTATGCTTTGATTCGACTGGTAATAATATCTCCCATATCTCTGGCATTTGCGTTGAGTCACTTTTATTGCATGTGTTGGGTGCAGACTCGGAGAACCAAGATTCAGTAATCAATCTCTCTCTCCACCTATCTATATTACTTTTTACAATTTTTACTCTGTCCCACCCACACCACTGTATGGTTGTGCATTAATGTATGTAGTGTGATTGCTGAGTTTTCTTCTAAATTACCTATCTTCGCGGAGTCAATCCTTCTAACCTTAGCTAAATGCTTATGTGCTGACAGAAAATCCGACCAGTCGCGACCTACTTGTTTAACCTATGCAGTTGTGACTAAATTCACAGTCATGGCAAGATATTTTGTAAATTACAATAATTTGTTTAACTGGGTCTACCGGATCCTTTAACCTAGAGAGCTTGTCCTATGTGAGTGAGTTTGTAGGTTTGAATGCCACTCTAATTTTCTGCTTTATTGAGAATGCCACGTAAGGTCTCAGATGTCCCCTTCTTATATGGTAAAATTGTAGATGCCTTATATTCTTTCCTATTTATGTTACTATTATTAATTTCACCATTATTTTTATTTTGCTTTGGACCTTTTTGATCTTCCTAATGAATTTTATTTATTTAGTGCCAACATCTCTTCTACCCGTTTCACTTCATCGTTTATGTTTTTTGTGTTACTTAGTGCTAATGCTCGGTTTGTCAGACACTTAACTAAGCCGCCCTTCACAGACAGATAATAAATGAGGTGAAGTAAAACCTAAATATCTATTAGAAAGGATTGACTTTTTTACAAATGCTAGTATACAGTTCACCTTCTTCCATTCGTGACACTGTGTGACTTTATCAAAATTAATTTTATCCAGAATGGAATTATACTTTACCGCACTGCACGAAGTTTATCCTTATATCAATAATTCATTCTGGCAATTTTTAAAAATTACTTTTAACAGTCCAGTTACAAAATATTAGAAGAAATACCGAAAGACAGGAAGAAGAGATGGATGGAGACTATTTCTGTTTTCCGAACTAGAATCCCAGTTTCTTTTTTTATTGCGATCGTATTTTATGACCTGGACTGTTCAAATAAGGAGCTTTTAATTTCTTTCGAAACGATATCTTTCAGACTTACACCAAAAACAGTATGTCTTAGTTAAAAGTCTCTAGTCTCTTATAATCAAAATCTAGTGAATTTAATACTAAATGAGGTATCGTGTAGTGATGCACAAGACTGAAACAGCACTAACAACATATTATTCGAAAGCCTGAAGACAACTCAACACTGAAACAAATTCCAAGTGTGAGAGAAATCAATAACACAGCTCATTAAATCCATATCACCCACATAGTTGAAAAATAGAACGTTAAATAACAGAAGATTCATTCGTGTACTAGAGGTTGCAGATATAATCGAACTACTCCAGAATGTGTGAGTTTATTCCACAAATTGTGTCAAACTTCAGGTGTCATTGTTCTATGAGTTAAACCTCTAGGTTATTAATCACATTTCACAATTTATCAAATGAATTTATACACCAGTTACTCATAGAGAATGAACACTAAATACATTATCAATACACCTGGTTTCTCAATTTCTATTTCATCGTAATCTCAAAAAATAAAAGTATTTGGGAATCACCAGCAGTATACACTCACTACAGGGGTTCGAACCCAAGGTAAGCTCGTATACGATTCAGACACTGGAACAAGATTCAATGGCTAGACCATGAATTTTAACTTCTACCAATTCGTGGTTTCAATTCCTACACAAACCAATGTCATAAGTGGGAACTCTATCCTCATACTTGACTGGATTGACCTCAGTGGTCACGACTTCTCACCAGAACTCCAGGAGACTCTGTCCTATAGCCGGTGACTAGCGAGCGTCAAATTAATTTTCAAGAGTTAGTTTGCAGGGATTCTAAGAATGGTATATGACGTCACCTTGTAACCGGAAGGTCCTGGGTTTCGAAACATGGCATTGGGTGCATAATGCCATTGAGCTAACTAGACAACTGTCCAATGCTCCGCGGTTTGTACCGGTTCTCTAACTGATATCAATCCGTGATCTAGGCTGAAATTTAATCCTGTAATTTGTTGTAAAACTAATTTTATCAGACCTGACATTTCAGTGATGATAAATGGGTAAATATTAAACGTATAGAAAACTCCAATGTATAAAGTCGTTAGAAAATAAAGTAAACATTCTTGAGGATAAGGTGATCACTTACGATAAACGTTACCCCAACTAACAACTGGTGTTTAAATGTCCACATAAACCACCAAATAACTCGGATTCTTTTCATATGTAAGCTGAGATACGGAGTTAAAACATGTAACTGTTTCACTGGATAGTAAGCGGATCCACACAACCATTTAGTCATTCTTACGTAATGTATGGGTAAGAGGTAAGTGA